ATTGACCTTAGGCGTGACGGCGCTGCGGGGGCACTGCCGTTCATCAATGAATTCCGAGGAGTAAATAGTCAATGGTAGGCATGGCGGCGCTGCGGGGGCACGTTCGGGTGATGGAGAGCCTCCGCTCTCGAGGCGCGGCACACGGAGACGAGAGGAGATGGTGCATCGCATTGGGCTGAATTGAACTCGGCTCCCGAGGCGCGCATCTCGAATCTCGGGTAATCTCGGGTCATCTCCTCTGCCCCCGAGGCGCGCATCTCGACCGCCGCGACAACTCCGGCTCGACGCCGCTCGCTCTCGCCGCCGCCGCGCCGGCCGAGGAGCTGCTTCCAGAGGCGGGGGAGAGAGGAGCCCGCGCCGGCTCAATCCGCATGTTGCTCCGTTCCATTCGCGGCGTACATTGAGCACAGGCGAGGGAGAGGAGCCTGCGCTGGCTCATCGCCGCCGGCGCGGCGCTCGGCTCGGTCGACAACGCGGGCAGCACACCACTCCTCGCGGCTGCCGCCGCCGGCCAAGCGGCGTCCGTCTCGCTACTCGCAAGCGCGGGCGCCGACGCCGACGCGACGCGAGCCGATGGCCGCGTCTTCAACTTCCGGGGAGGAGGCGCTGCGGTGCCCCTCCCCAAACCTTCCCGGAACCTTCCCGTAGGTCGCACGGCGCTCCACATCGCTGCCGAGAGCGGCGATCTGCAAGTCGTGCGTGCCTTGCGCGCCTCGGGCGCCGCTGGCGGCGGCGCCGCCCTCGAGGCCGCGATTGCACGGCGAGAGCACAAGCTCATCGCGGCGCTGCAGCCATAGGGAAGCACTTGCTTGTCGTGAGAGAGCCCATCATTTATTGTGTCCAACGGACATGAGTGTTGTCAGCGTGTGGTGACTGGTGAGTGGTGTGCTCCTGTGCGCGTGTGGTAGCCTGGTACGGTACCCTCGGTACTGGAGTAGTGCTAGAGTGGCGGCGTGGGCCTGCGGTACAAAACGCTAGTAGTACGACTCTCTCTGTACACCCTGGGACCGGACACGGTCTCAATCAGGAGGTCCAATCTTCACCGACACCGTCTACCGCATCTTGCAGAGGCTCACGCTCGCGCCGCTCCAGCTGCCTCGCGAGCTCCTTCTGCAGGCACGCGCACCGCAGCGAGAGCCTGACCGACTCTCGGCGCAGCCGGCGCCGCGCGGAGCGAAGGGCGTCGACATTGGCGCGGTCGCTGATGCGGTTGGACGTCTCTTCCACCTCGCGTTTGGACCGGCCGATGCGGCCGTGCAACCCTTCCAGCTCGGCGCTCAGCCGGTCGACACGCGCCTGCGCCTCTGCCAGCCGCGCGCTGCGCGACGCCGCCTCGGCGTTCAGCTCCTCCAGCCTCTCGCGGACGGGAGCGAGGGCGGACGCCTCGTGGCCCATGCGCTCGCTGATCCCCTCCAGTCCCGGCCGCGCAACCTCCTGCGAGGCATCAAAGCTGGGCGCGTGCCGCTGCATCAGCTCCAGCCGGTGCCTCCAGCGCAGCTGGCTCCAGCCGAGCTGCAGCTTGAGCATCGGCCGGCACCGCGCGCACTCCTCGCGCCATGCCGCGGGCTCGATCGCGCTGCAAATTGGCGAAAGCAGCCGCCCAGCCGCCGGCTCATCCCAGCCTGGCTCCGACCACTCCGGCTCGCCCACCGACGGCTCGTCTGATGTAACTGGCGCGCTGCCAGCCCCGCCCTCAAAAGCGTCTGCTGTCTCGTGGACCGCCTCCACGACGTCATCCCCAACCCCCTGCTCGGCACCGGCATAGCAAGGCGCCGCCCACGCAAAGCCTCTCGCCTGGAGCGCTTCGTCGGCCAGTGCGTTGAGCAGGACGCACACATCTGAACCAGTGGCCGCCCGCAGCTTGCTCGGGGCCATCGTGCGCGCTAGCTCCGGCACCTTCCCACCGGATCTGCCCATCGTCTCGAGCGCCGCCGTCGCGGCCGCCAGCATGTCCGTCTCGCTCGGGCGCTCCGGCAGCCGCGAGGAGAGGTCGCTCTCGTGACGCAGCGCGAGGTTGAGGAGCCAGCAGCAGATGTGGAGGAGGTAGGCAAACTGCTGCGGTGGAGGAGCTGCTGCGGCCAACGTGAAGTAGCCCAGAGGCAGAGGGGGAAGCGAGCGCGGCCGGAGCAGCCCCCTCTCGTAGTTTAGTATTTTAAGCTTGTCGCGCAGACCGTCGGCAAGCAAGCCAGCGTCCGTCGCCGCCACGCCTCCGCCGCCGCCGCCGCCGCCGCTGCGGCCGCCGCTCTGGGGCCGCGCCGCCGCCTCCTGAGCCAGTGCTTCGGCGGCATTCGCGGCGTCGAGCGTCTGCTGGATGTCGGGCCGGCGGCTCGGGTCGGTCTGGATCATCCACGTTACGAGCGCGGCAAGCTGCTCCGAGTAGCGATCGGGCAGCGCCGCAAACTGAGGAGGTGGGCAGGGGCGAGACGGACCGCTTGGTAAGGAGGAGTTTGGTGGGACGCGTGTCGGCAGAGCGTGTCTTGTTTGAGTTGTGTCACGAAGGGTGTGTGTGTGATGCAAGCCCACCTTGCCGACCGAGATCTTCTTGAAGAGGGAGAAGAGGTTGTCCTTCTCACCTGTGGGATGCGTTGCGGGCGTCATGAACGTGTGTCATGAAGAGCACCCCACGAGAGCATTCTCCTCGCCTTGGCTCTTGAAGGGGGAGCGCAGCGTGGCGAGCTCGTAGAGTAGGCAGCCCAGAGACCAGATGTCACTCTTCCATTCGTAGCCTCGCCCGTCGAGCACCTCGGGCGACATGTAGAGCGGCGTGCCGACCTTGGACATCGCCTCGTACCTGGAGGGCAGAGCGTGGCGGTGAAACCTAGCGCATCATACAGCCTCAAAGGGCCATGAACGGCCAGTGCCGCACAGCCGACGCAGCGCCGCCGCCTCCGCCAGTGTCCAACCATCTAGGGCGCATCGCACGTCTGCGATGAGAAGGCTCGGCCGAGGCCGAGGTCGCCGAGCTTGACGCGACCGTCGGCCGCAAGGAAGATGTTTGCTGGCTTTATGTCGCGGTGCATAACCCGCGCCGCATGCATGTGCCGGATGCCGTCGCAAACCTGCGAAACGTGCAGAGATGTCTCCGACAGATGGGGGTGGCAGACTCGAGATGTGCCGGACGTCTAGTCGAGAGGCCGGATGTCGCAGCGCGCCTGCGTAAAGTACCTCCAAATCTGCGGCTCGCGCAGCGAGGCGCTGCACTCGGCCGCACGGCGCAGCAGGCGGCGGAGGTCTCCGTGCTCGGCCCACTCAAAGACGATGTAGAGGACGTTGTCGGCAAGGAACGCGTCCAGGTACTGGATGATGCTCGGGTGCGCTTCCAGCGTCTGCAGCAGCTGCACCTCCTTGAGGCATCGGTCGCGCGCCTTTGCGTCCATCATGTCAAAGATCTTGATCTTCTTGAGCGCGACGCGGCGATCGTCGGAGCGGCGCTGCGCGCGGTGGACGACGGAGAAGTGGCCCCGCCCGATCGCCTTCTCCACCACGTAGTCGTCCAGCGTGCCTTGCTGCAGCAGGCAGCTCGGCTCTGCGGGCGGCTGCACGGCTGGCGGGTGGGTGCCGCCGGCAGCAGACATGTCGACACCGCTGCGGGCCAGCCTTCACGCACGGCGCAGCAACGTCTCCCGAGAGTGCGCCGACCAACGCTGTCGCAGTGTCGCAGCGGCGGTGCACGCTCGGACGGCGAGCGTGGCGTTGGTATGTTTACACGCCGCGTTTCATACAACTGTAAGATCCGCGAGGAAGAATTTTACAAGCCGAACCCGGCGTTGTGTGTAGCCTGCTCTAGCCTCGCATGTTACTTCCTGTCGTCTGTTGTGTCGTTGTGCCCTTGTTTGTACTCTTGGCACCGTGGGTGCTGGCTGGGGGGGGCGACAGGGAGGATGTGGCCTTGAGTTATGAGTACGCCAACTCAGGGTGTGTGGCAGCCAGCTGACTGTGTGTCTTGTGAGCCTGTTTGTGTCTGTGTGTCGCTCGTGCGTGCCGTCATCATCTGTCCAGCGTCCACCCATACCGCGTTGGTGGCGTCCAGTCCGAGCCTGGCTGTTCTTCACCTTTCTACCTAACCTAATCTTGCGGTGTGTGTGTGAGTTGTGTGTGTATCCTGCGAGGAGAGAAGGGCAGGATTCACATAAACGCCCCTCCTGAACCACACACACACACACACTAATACAACATCACTCATGCCACACCTTACACCTCGCAGGCCCCGGGCGGGTACTAGCTCGAGCTAGAGCTCGAGGGTTGGCCTCTCGAGTCGCCTGACGCGCCGGCGCCCGACATGTGCTCGCTAACAGCCGGTACTACACCTCAAGGCGGAAGCTCCGCTGCGTCGGTCTGCTTGAGCAGCCCGGCCGCAACGTGCTGGAACGGTCCGTCGACGCCGTCGCCGTCCTTGGCTGACGTCTCAAAGTAGCCCAGACCGTACGCGCGAGCGAAGCGTTCTCCCATCCCACGCTCGACCACGGAGCGCTCGTGCAGATCAACCTTGTTGGCCACTACTGCACCCGGCAGCTTGTGAACCCCTACCATCTCGAGCAGATGCCGGTATCGCCCCTCGCATGCGTCAAACGTGTGCTGCCGCGTGACGTCGTACACGACGATCACCCCCTCCGTCCCCTCCCAGCACGGCGGAAGCATCTCCGCAAAGATGTCCTGTCCGGACGAGTCGAACAGGTAAAGCTCCACGTTTGCCTCCGAGTCCACCGCAGGTGGCCGCACATGCGTCATTTTGTGCGCCAGCTCGACGCCGCAGGTCATGTTGTACTGCTTTGGGAAGCGCGTGCCCGAGGAGGCGAACATCTGGACTAACGCCGACTTCCCCACCGCCGCGTCGCCAATCACCGCGATCTTTCGCCGAATCGTTGGCGGCATATTGGTGTGTCGGGGGGGCTGCGCTCGTCCGTTGACCAGCGTGTAACGTCGTTAGAGAAATGTGAGTGAGGCCAGAAAAGAAAAACACACGCGACCACAGAGAAGCACCGGCCCCAGCTTCGGCTGAGGGCTGACAAGCTGCCGAGCCCAAATCACTGAGAGTCGTGATTTCTTGTTGGTTTTCTAAACTCCCACACAGGGATTTTAAGGTGTGATGCGCTAGCCGTCTCCCACCGTGGCAGGTAGGTAGGTAGAAAGCTAGGTTTGTTGTTGGCAAATCAAGACACCAGGTGAAGAACAGCCAGGCTCGGACTGGATGGACACCAGCGCGGTATGGGTGGACGCGGGACAGATGATGACGACACGCACGAGAAGGGAGAATTAATAAAAATCTCTCTCTCGCACGAGCACCGTTAAGCACATCCTTTTCTTCTTTTCGTCGCTTTGTTGTAAATTCGCTCGTTGTGGGGCATGTCATTGTGGGACGTGTCGGGGGGGCTGCGCTCGCCGTTGACCAGCGTGTAACGTCGTTAGAGAAAGAAAACGCCAGTGCAACTTGCAACAATTTTTTTCGTTTTCTTTGTCTGAAAAAAGAAAGAAAACAGACAACCGAAGGGAGTTTTCTTGCGAGGCGAGATTCGGTTTTCTTCTTTCGCGGTCGTGCCACCGCCTTGAGGGGTAAAATTCTTTCGCGTTGTCAGTCCCGCTTGGCAGTGTGCAGTGTGCCGTGCGGCGGGAGCTTGTTGTAAATTCGCTCGTTGTGGGGCATATGCTGCTCGCCAGCTCGCTCGTCGGCCTCGATCCGCCGGGTGCCTCCGGCTGGTGCTCCTCGTGCGGGCGGCCGCACTCATTGCCTCGCACTGCGCAGGCGGAGGTGGAGGCGCTGTCGCTGCTGCGGCGCATCGAGCAGAGCGGGCGGTTCGACTTCACCGCCGCCGAGCCAGACCCGCGCTTCGGCCTGACGCAGGAGCAGCGGCGGACGGGCAAGATGCTCGGCGTGCTGCTCTGCTCGGACGGCACCGTGCTGCGCGCCTTCAGCGGCATGCTGGGCGGGACGTGGCACTGCCCAGGGTGGGCGCCGCCCGTTGCCGGCCTGACGCTGGAGGACGCGGAGCCGGCGGCCGCGTTCGGAGAGATTGTGCGCCTCGTCGCAAGAGCCGACGCTGCGGCGGAGCCCGAGCGCGGCCGGCTTCGGCGGGCGCACAGGGAGCGCTCGGCCGCGCTCTCGCAGGCGCTCGGCGCCAGCTACGTGCTGCGCAACGCGCGCGGAGAGGAGGCGGGCGTGCCGGAGCTGCTGCGTGCACAGGGCGTGCGCCCGCCCGGAGGCGTGGGCGACTGCGCGGCGCCAAAGCTCCTCACGGAGGCGCACAGGCGCAGGCTAGTGCCCGAGGCGATCGCGGAGGTGTGGTGCGGGCCGCCCGCCAAGACGCGCACGCACGGCAGCTTCCATGCCGCGTGCCGGGAGCGGTGCGAGCCCATCATGGGTTTCCTGCTCTGTGGGGTGCCGGCGGCGTGCGGCGCCGACGGATAGCGGTTGGCGCGCCGTATCGGTGTGGTGTCCGGTCGTGTGAGTGTCTCACGTCTAGGCGTGGTTTGCTTTCCTAATTTACAACCTAATATCTGGGCCCGCGATAAGTCGAGATAGAGATTCTCATTTTCTCTCTTTTACAGCTTCTTCTCTTTTTCCATTCAGCGCCTTTTCCGCTTTGGTGCACTTGGCCTTGGCGTAATTCTTTTCGGCTAGTTCCATTTCATTGTGGCACAGCTCGCGTTACACTGGGGTGCGAGTTAATGCGCGGTTGGGGGGGTCTGAAAAGGGGAGCTCCCTCTCTCCCCACCCCGAGGACCTCTGCCCAAGCTGATGGTGCCCAGCCCAGAGGGCCTCAGGGGCTGTAGAGTCACACCTAGGAGAGGGGGTAGCTCACACCTTGTGGGCCGCACTGACCCTTCTCCCACGTGCCCTTGCCCGCCCCTCTGACCGCCGCCCGAGAGGCCCGACTTTAAGGGGCTGGTGAGAGCCCCCACCGTTGCGCCCTCACCTCACGCTGACATATCCTTTGGGAATGCCCATGGACTCTAGGGACCTGGGGGCAGCTTTGCCCGCGGGTGCCATGCTAGGCTATGGTAGCCATTCTCCCAGATTCTCCGGAGAGGCCGCAAAAGCGGCCAAGGTGGCCTCCGCTCAAGGGTCGTTGGGATTTTCTGGTGACTCAGGAAGGAGGGGTCTGCGCCAAATAAAAATCGGTTCCGTACTGTCCGCCCCCGGCTACGCATGACACAATTTATTAGAAGTTGGGGCTTCATCTTCCGCCCGAGATAAAAATCCCTCTTGTCTCTCAGCCCGCTTGCCCATAGCCGCCGAGACGGCGCGCTCTGCTGACTCTCATCTAGCACCCTCTGTATGTATGTATGTAGTAAGGTGAAGAACAGTCAGGCTCGGACTGGACACCAACGCGGTATGGGTGGACGCTAGACAGATGACCCTCTTGGGGACTCTCCTGACCGCTGTGGGCCTCTCCAGACCTCCTCTTGCCTATGGGAGTACCCCTCTCAGTCTACTTCCTAGGACACAGGCACAGGTTTGCATAATGCGAGCTTTTTCTCAAGGGCTATAGTGCAGAGTAGAAAGGTAATTTCTCGCAGCTGCGAGACAAGTTTTCTCGGAGCGACAGCCTCAAAGACAAAAGGGTGGATGGGTGGGGGGCGATTGCGGGCGAGCGCCAGCGCGCCCCAGGAACGGTGGGGTGCCCTCGACCGCGCGTCCGAGTCACTTGGGCGGACGAGCGAGCGGCACATGGCCCGACAAAGAGAAATCGGAGTCTGGCGACGAGATCGATAAAAGAAGTGCAGCGTTTCCTCTGAGGTGCCTCAGAGGTGCACCACACCTCTGAAGGTGTCTTTCAGAGGTGTCCTTCAGGAGCAGAGCTGACGTCAGTCTGTGCGCGCTCCCTCTCTCCTCGTCGAACTTGGGAACGAGGAGGAAGAGTTGAAGCGCGCTCAGAGTCGCCCTCTTCGCCCTTCCGAAGGCCACGATGGCCGACTCTTTTGACGCCGAGGTGGACCCGACGGGATCCACCATGCTTTTGATCATGCCCGAGAGCTCCCCGCTTCTTGAGGCCACCGAGTTCTTGGGGTGGACGGCGACCACCGCCGGCTCCGACGGGATGCCGCGCAAGGCGGCCCCTTGCGCCGCCGCGGCCCCCCTTCTCGCGCGCTGCCGCCAGGGCGCCGCGGGCCAGCAGCACCCGGGCCACCCGCAGTTTCTCGCTCTTTGCCCGTTGACGTTCGCGCTGACCGGCTCATCGGACTGGGTGACTGTCCTTAAAATACCTTCCATCGGACTGGGTGACTGTCCTTAAAATACCTTCCATCGGACTGGGTGACTGTCCTTAAAATACCTTCCATGACCACCCGCCCACCCGGTCAACATCACGTGGGAGAACGCCGATACGTTAATGGCGCCAGCGCCTGCTGTTGACAAGTGGGGAACAAACGGCTTCATCGCAAAGCTGCCCCCAGCAGGCGTCTTGACGGGTATCAAAATTCTTCCCTACGAAAGAGGCCAACGGACCCGAGAAGGTAATTTCTCGCAGCTGCGAGACAAGTTTTCTCGGAGCGACAGCCTCAAAGACAAAAGGGTGGATGGGTGGGGGGCGATTGCGGGCGAGCGCCAGCGCGCCCCAGGAACGGTGGGGTGCCCTCGACCGCGCGTCCGAGTCACTTGGGCGGACGAGCGAGCGGCACATGGCCCGACAAAGAGAAATCGGAGTCTGGCGACGAGATCGATAAAAGAAGTGCAGCGTTTCCTCTGAGGTGCCTCAGAGGTGCACCACACCTCTGAAGGTGTCTTTCAGAGGTGTCCTTCAGGAGCAGAGCTGACGTCAGTCTGTGCGCGCTCCCTCTCTCCTCGTCGAACCCACCACCATCCCCTTTCGCCTCCTATCTGTCTTGTGTGTGCCTTGCTGGGGGAACAAACGGCTTCATCGCAAAGCTGCCCCCAGCTTCCAGAGGCAGCTGCGACCCCGCCGAGTAGACGGCGGCACACAGCAGGTGGCGCGGTGTGCCGCCGTCCACTCGCCTGGGTCGCAGCTGCCTCTGCGCGTCCTGGGGATGTACCTTTGTCGCGCGCCGGAGACGACTCGCCGCCGCTGAGATCGGAGATCAAGCTCTGACAGGTCGCACGTCGCTCCTTTGACGCCGACGTGACTCACCCGTGCAGATCACATCAGGACACGGTCTCGACGCGCTCGGTACGACGCCTGCGACCCGTCTCGGGTCAGGTGGCACGACGCTCATCGCGCCTGCCAGCGATGCCGTGCAGGTTGCCACGACGAGGTCGAGCACGCTTCTATACGCTCGCCGAGCCTTCCTTTCCATCCCATTAGGCAGCCTGGGAACGGTGGCGGTCAGAGGCAAAGACTACGAGGGGTGGTGGAACCACATGTCACGGCTACTGCCGGCTCGACCCCACGATAGCCTCCGAAGGCTGACTTTGAGGCACCATCATCGGACGATGTCGACGAGTTGGGTCGCTCTCGCGGTAGCCAGATGACCTCCCATGCTAGTACCATCGGCTTGGGCCGCAGGAAGCGCGGGGGAGGGCGCTGGGAGCAACACGGAGCTCCGTTGGACGTTTTCAAGATTAGCGTGTCAGAGTGAAATGGAACTAGCCTTCAAGGCACACGCGTGTGATAGTCTTTGAAGTTTGATAAGGTAAGTAAGGTAAGGTAAAGTCCTCCTGCTGCGCCATCACCTCGTCAATCAGCTCGCTGATGAGCGTCTTCTCCGGCTTGAGCTCGCCCGGATCCTTGCCCAGCGCCGTCTCGAGCTTCTCCCGCACCTACGGAGAGCTGAGGGAGGGTGTAGAGGATGTAGAGTGTAGAGCGCTGTAGAGCTGGAGAGCTGGAGAGCGCTGTAGAGCTGTAGAGCTCTACATCCGCCGCGGGACGAGGCGCCTCCGTTGTAGAGCGATGTAGAGGCGCTCTACAACGTGAAATCTCTACAACAAACTCTACATCATAAGCGGCGAACGAGGCACGGTCGCTCTCCGACATGAGGCGCGTTGCACTTGCCAGTGCTGCCCTGGCCTTCTGTCTGCCCGCCCAATGGGTAGGAGGTGCCTCTGCTGCTATGGCATGCCTCACGGCTGCGACTGGCCGGCGCCTCGGCGCGTCAGCTCGGCTCGGCGTAGCGATAACATGTGGTGTGTGTGAGTGTGTGTGTCTCACTCACTCACTCACTCACTCACTCACTCACTCACTCACTCACTCACTCACTCACTCACTCACTCACTCACTCACTCACACGTGGACGACATGTATTGGCGGCAAATAAAGGAGTGGGAGTCAAAGAGTGCCGGTCGAAATTAGATTGAAGAAAAACGCCCGCCGTGCTCACGCGAAATTCACTCAGTCACAGTCCCGTTGCGACCTACAGTTCGTCCTTTATGACGCGCAACAATTTGCGCCGCTCAAACACTTTGAAAGAAATCACTGTGTGAGTCGTGATTTCTTGTTGGTTAATAAATGAATAAAAACACTTTCTGCATTCCAACCACCTCCAACCAAGTCGTCCTTGTGGGCCTTGTTTGCGTCCGCTCCCGCCGCGAGCAGTTTCTCAACCAGCGCGTCCCTGCCCTTATACGCGGCCGAGTGCAGCGGCGTCACACCGTGCTTGTTGGCCTTTCGATTGGCCTTGTTCACGTCTGCTCCCGCCGCAAGCAGCTTCTCAACCAGCGCGTCCTCGCCGTAGTACACGGCCCAATACAGCGGCGTCTCACCGTCCTTGTAGGCCTTGTTCACGTCCGCTCCCGCCGCGAGCAGTTTCTCAACCAGCGCGTCCCTGCCCTTATACGCGGCCGAGTGCAGCGGCGTCTCACCGTCCTTGTTGGCCTTGTTCACGTCCGCTCCCGCCGCAAGCAGCTTCTGAACCACCGCGTCGTAGCCTTTGCGCGCGGCCCAGAACAGCGGCGTCATACCCGACTCGTCGGCCTTGTTTGCGTCTGCTCCCGCCGCAAGCAGCTTCTCAACCTGCACGTGATCGCCGTGCCTTGCATAATACAGGAGGTCGTCTGCTTCCGAAGATGCCAGGACTGACACAAACACCAGGCAGGCACGGACATCACCCACATTAAACACGAGAAGCGTTCGCAACAGGGCGCCGTTCACGCCGTTCACACAAAAGCACAACCCCGAAATTTCGCACGTTCACGACGAAGTTTCAAACAATCGCAAACGTGACAGACCTGTATTTACTCGGCACGCCCGCCGCGGTGGCGGTGCCGCGATGAACGGATGAAGATGGAGGCATAGACGGTAGGCCGGTCGGAGACCCCATGTTATTAAATTTTTAAGTTTAAGCGCAGACCTCGAGACTTGAATGCAAGCATGTTCAGGCCATCTAGAGTGCCGAGCAACATCGCACCGGTTCGATTCGCGCATCACGGCCGCGCAAACTGGCTGCACTGCGGCGCGAGGCTCAGCGGGGCGTCCGGACCACTGACTCGGGCGATACCTGTCCGAATAGGAGCTCGAACCCAGTCATGAAAAAAGAAAACGGACACGGAGGTGGATCATGGGAGACGTACAGGGCTCAGGGGGCACCACGGGGGCGGCGACCACCATTCTTGCAGCTTTTGCAATCGACTCTTCTCCTTGCCCATCACGCGGCTGCCAATCTTGGACAGCACCCCCTCCTCCTTCTTCTGCCCGCAGACCTTGCCGCAGACCTTGCCGTACGCGCTGCTGACGGCCGGCGAAGCCTTTGCCCACAGCTTGCGGAGCAGCTCTCGCGAGGCGACAAGCAGCGCGGCCACGAGGAGAGGCACGATCGTAAACTGGTCAAACTGGGCGGATTCCGGCGTGAGCCAGCGCGCGTAGCGCGAGTCGGCCGGGACTAGGGCGAGGTAGGTGAAGCCGAGCGTGAAGAAGAAGGCTCCGAGGAGCGCAGTCGCCGCCGGTATGATCTTTGCACGCAGGTACAGCCCCAGCACGCCGCCACCCACTGCGCCGACCAGGAGGAGCTCGAGGAGGAAGAGCTTGATAATCGTGTACACATAGAAACCAGCGACACCACCGACGCAAAGGCCGAGCAGAAAGAAGGCGGCCCACGGGCTCGTGCGGACACGCAGGCCGCACGCCACGCCGACCACCAGCGGCGGCAGTGCCTGCAAGGTGCAGTCCAGTCTGGCATCAAAAGCCTCGAGGATGCCAGAGATCGCGGCTGAGGTGATTGCGCTTCCGCACACAAAACCAATCGTGAAGAGGATGGTTGCGTTGAGCTCGTCGCCGTGCACCAGAAAGAGGAGGCCGACCGACATCATCAGCAGGTCGAACAGCACCGCGCCAAACGAATTTGGGTACGCGAAGTCTTCACTCAGCTCCAGGCCGCTCTGCGCTGCGGACCACGGGAGGAATCGGTCGAGCAGGCAATCGCCTCCACCCATATGAGCGCGGCCCGCGCGATGCCTGGAGGCGCGTGAAAGAGGTTCCTTTCCGCCCCCCCTCAGGCGCGCGCGAGACACAGGACCGGCCCCAGCTTCGGGCGGGAGGGCGGAGTGGGGCTGAGAAGTGGGCGCCACAACCGAAATGGAAAATTCTTTTTGCGTTGCAATTCTTTTCTCTCGTTAAATTTTTTTCTCGCCTTCTGGACTGCGTTGCGTTTTTTCTCACACCACGTGCCTCTGGACCTCCGTTCACGTGCACGAGCTTCTTGAGCCACCCACCAACCCACCCACCTCACGGCCCGGCTGAGGCTTGGAACCACCCACCCACCCCCAGCCCCACCCACCTCACGGGGGCCCGGCTGATGAGGCGAGGAAACCCACCCACACCGACCGACCCACCCCCACCACCCAACCAACCGTCCCGGCCACGGAAGACACAAGCAAGGTAGCAGCCTCGCGCGCCTTATACAGCACAGCCAAGGGTTAGGGTTAGGGTTAGGGTTGGGTTAGTTAGGGTCAGAGAGTTCAAGCCGTTGTGCAGCTCCTAAGAACGGGCCGCTTCGGGTCGGAATGGAGGAACCAGCGGTCCGTTGACACGAGCTCTCCGGTGACCATGCTCCGAGTTCTTCCGGTTAGGGTTAGGGTTAGTAGGGTCAGGGTTAGGGTTAGGGTTAGGGTTAGGCGTTAGGGTTAGGGTTAGGGTGTGGGGTAGGTTGTTGTCGTCGCGCCGATAAGACAGAGACACGGGCAGCCAGACGCACCAGAGCATGGTTGGGCGGGTGAGCCGCCATCTTGGACTGTGAGGCGAGTATTTGCAACCGGGAGCTCGCCGCCGCCCCTACACCGCCGCCGCCGCCCTCCCGAGGGCAGGAGATAATAACCAACGGCCGCCTCGTCGTCGAGCTCGGCGGAGACGATGGTCGCCTCGCGTTTGAACCCCTCGAGCTGCTAGAGCGGCGTCGCACTCGTCGAGCGTAACAGCAGCCCGCCCTCGGATGACTTGTTGAGCGCGCCGTAAGCCGCCCCCGTAAGGCACGAGGCAGCCATCGGGGAGCGCGCTCTCGGTCAGCTGGTGCCGTCGCGTGGGTACGGTGCGAGGAACGACAATCGACATGCTGTGGCAATGACGAGAGGTGTGCCTCAAAGATTGGCCTGTCCAAGGGTTTCCTCTCGCACCCTACCTCGCTACCTGGTTTCCTTTACGTGTGTTTCCTCAGTTCCTGCTAGTTTCCCTAGAGCACCCTCTAGTTTCCCGGGGAAACTCCGTGGAAATCATCAATTCCCCGGGCTCTGAGCCGAGTCTGAGGCTGGTTTGGGCCCCAAATCAGCCAAATCGGCAAAATACCGGGGTATTTTGCGGGTATGTATGTAACTGTAGAGAGGAGACTCGGTTTGGGGAGGGCGCGAATGGGAGACTTTTCGGCGGGCGAAATGCGGCGGTTTGGATGCGTCCTTGCGACGGTGTGTCATTCACTTTATGCAACCGTTGCATATCCGGATATGCAACGGTGGCATAAAGTGAATGACACACCGTCGCAAAACTGCATTCCTGGCTCGTGCGGAGATGCATACGGTTTGGGTACCGGCCGATAGCAGGTGAACGCTAAGGTGGGTTTCGAACCAATGACAACGCCCGCCTGGGTTTTTTGCGCCGAGTCGAACTGCGGGATTCGAACTCGAGACCCAATGCAGTTTTGCGACGGTGTGTCATTCACTTTTTATGCCACCGTTGCATATCCGGATATGCAACGGTGGCATAAAGTGAATGACACACCGTCGCAGTCCTCTTGTGGGACGACCTGTTGGGACGAAGTTGTGCCCTTTTTTATGCCCGCCCCCCGCCCCCAGGAAGTGAAAGGCGGCAACACAACTTCAATAAACAGAGCAGACAAACCAAGGGCGGCGCAACGGGGGTGTCATTTTATTCAAAGGCCAGCGCGTGGAGCCACTGGCCCCACTGGCCGGGCATCAGATGCTCGCACGTCTGCTGCGGGGTCTGCATCCCGCGGGCCCGCTCGTGCTGCTTCTTCACGCACCGCGCAATCAGGCGGCAGACCGACTCCGACCTTGTCCGGCACCACTCGTCGTACATGGCGGGCAGCCGCTCCTTGAGCGACTCGAGGCGGCTCAGCGGGTGGCTCTCAACAGGCGCGCTCTCGCCGAGCAGCGGCCGCGCGAAGACGGTCTTCTGCGTGCCGAGGTAGCTCTTCGACTGCGCCCCGTTCCGGCTCCCCTCCGAGACCAGAGGCCGGTGCGGCAGCTCGGCTCGGCAGAAGACCACGTTGCCCGGCTTGTCGTGCCGCTGCCTCTCCTTTGGCGGCGCCGCGCGCTGCAGCCCGTGGTGCCGCGCCGGCCCCCCCGGGAGCTGCCGCGCGGGGGCAGCGTCGGCGCGTGGCGCGTGGCACGGGGGCGGGCCCGAGCTGCTAGCCCCTCCCCTCGGGCGCGCGGCCTCCGCCGCCGGAGCGCTCCGCCCCTCGTCGTGCCGCGGCGCCTCCTCGTCGGGCAGCTCCCCGTCGGAGAGGTGGCCCCCGGAGGCGCCGCCCGGCTGCGGGGGAGGCTGTGCCGGGGCCTCGGGAGGCTCCCCTCCCTCACCCACGCGCGGCTTGCTTGACTGCCCGCAATCGAGCGGCGCGTCCGCCCTCCTCTTTGTGGCGTGCAGCTCGCCCTCCTCGGCCCCGCGGTGCCGCCGGGTCTTGGGCACGTGCTTGTCCTGCGTGCAGCGCGGGACGAGAGAGGTGAACGGCGCCGGGGGGGGGGGGGGGGGGTGGGAGCACCGGGCGGGCCGAGCGGGCACATGAGGGGAGCACCTCATTCATCATGCTCACGACCGCTCGCTGCATCTGCGTGTCCGAGAGGTCTGGGGGCGCAAATGGCCGGAGCGCCCCGACCGGCACCCAGCGGCCCTCGTGGCCATCGGCGCCGCACGCGCGACTGTGGCATCGCACACGCACTGTCGCCTGCGTGGGAGAGTGCTCGAGCCGGAGCGTGCTGCCGCCCTCTCCAACCAATGGGATTGCCTCCACTTTGGTGTCGTCAAATTCGCCGACAATGTAGGCGTGCATGTGCTTCAGATAGGCCATGCGCCCGCGGCGATTCGACGGGAGCCACTCTTGCAGCACCCCGAGCGCCTGCGAGACGTTGGTGAAGTGCATGCCAGCGTTGCAGCCCGGCGGCTTGTGCAGGACGGTGACCGTGTCGAGCAGCCACATCCGCGGCTCGTTGACCTGCAGGACGACGAGCGGCTCCTCCGACCCCTCCGCGAAGAGCGAGAGGATGAGTGGCGCCTCGTCGCAACTGGAATCGGAAATTAGGCGGACCATTGTCCGTCTCGAATTGCCCGGCGCAGAGCACCTCGCCGGGCGCGAAAAAACAAAAATAACACCGCCCCCCGCGAGCGTGGAATAGGACCGCCGCAGGAGCAGGAGAGCCCCACCTGTCCCCCTGATCGTTCTTCCAAAATCCTGCTCGTGCAGGTGGGGACCCTGTCCTCGTCCCATCCCTCGTTTGGCGTGTCTGTTTTCTTTCTTTCTTTTAGGACCGCCGCAAGCGGCGTGGCGTGGAGCGGTTGAGCGTCCCTCCGGGGGCCCCTCTGCGCCGGGGAGGCGTTGTTGGCGGCTAGGACGCAAGCGTCCGTCGCCGTTTTCAAACTCGGGGCCCACTCCGCTACGCTCCGACCCGAATTTGGAGGGCCATGAAATTTAAGGTGTTGCTGCGCAAAAGGGGTGGCGCGCGGGCGCGCGCGGCGGCGGGCGTCGAGCGCGGAGCGGCAAACACAATGACGTCGGAAAGCTCTGCATCAAGTATACAGTAGGCGCCAGGACGCGTGTGAGCACGTCGACGTCGAGCTCGAGCTGCTTGAGGGCGGAGAGATACGCCTGGGAGGGCGGTGAGGTGGCGGGGCTGGGCTGGGCGCGAGGCGAGAGGATGACTCGATCGCCGTCGCTGCTACCGCCCTCTCCGCCGCCCTCGAAGGCGCCACCAGCATTACGGCCGCCTTCATATCTCACTGATGCTGCCACCAACGCCACTTCCTCGATTCTGTGCCGCTGCAGCGGCGAGGCGCCGTCGCCACGATCGCCGCCAGCGCTGCTGACAGCCTCGGAGCGTCGCCGTGGCCGCGTTCTGGTCTGCCCACGCTTCCCTAAAATGTCTAGGACGAGCTCAGAGGCTAAGGGCGCATCCTGTGGGACCATCTAGCTCTACTGGGTCCGCGACGGCGGTCGGCGCACCCCCGTCTCGAACGTGTGTGCTCTCTGTCTGTCTGTCAGCTGTTTCGGCTAAGTCGTTTTGTACCGGATTTCAATGTTAGTGGCAAAACCGCGGAACCGAAAATGGCGTTTAATTTCGCGCACCTGCTGTCCTCCGCCTGCGGCGGCGCTCCGCGCCGCTTGGGGCGCCTGCGGCGCCCCTGGGCGCGCTGCGCGCGCCTCTGTAAACCGCCGTGTACCAGCAAGCACCGAAAAAAAGTGCCTGTTTTCCCGGGCGGCCGAGGAAAACAGCAGCGTGCGTGGAGAGATTCAATGCTCTAAATTCTAATACCTCCCCTTCCCCTTGCCGCCCTTGCCCGACCCCCACCCCTTTCCTCCACCCCCCCGGCCACCCGGTGACCCCCACCCGCCCCCACCGCCTGCACTCCACCCGCCGCCACCGCCCTTGCCGCCCTTGCCGCCCTTGCCCCACCCCTTGCCTCCATCTCCCTTGCCGCCGCCGCCCTTGCCGCCGCCCTTGCCGCCGCCCTTGCCGCCGTCGCCGTACGGAGGCGCCTGCAGCGGCTAATTAGTTATTAGTTGATTAACAATTAATTGACTAAGGGCCAGGGGCGCCTGCAGCGGCGGCATCTCGTCGCAGACAGACAGCCACTCGATCTCGCCCATCTTCGCCTCGAGCTCGGCGGCGAACAGCGCCTGCACGGCGATGCGCAGCCGAGGTGCAGCCGAGGTGCAGCCGAGGTGCAGCCGAGGTGCAGCCGAGGTGCAGCCGAGGTGCAGCCGAGGTGCAGC